TTTGTGAAGGGCCCGCGTGATGACATTTGCAAGAAGAGGTGTCTTGATACCTGCAGGCGGAACGCGCGAGACAGAGACAAGCCGTCTAGCCAGGATGCAAGTTCCTTCCACAATCAATCTTGCTACAACTGAGGTTATCGAAAGCCGCATCAATAGCTTACGTAGGAGGACGTGAGAATGGTTATGGGTAACAGGGAGGCAGACCCACGGTAAAATTCGAAAATCTCTTCCTCAGTAGCTTGTATAAATTTATATGAACCCGCACTATGGCCTTGGGGTAAACTGAGCCTAAGGCTGAAATTCTCACCGTCATCTGTGAGCCAATTGTCTACAAAATGTAGGAGCCTCGACGTCTCAGTACCTTATGGGCCTGCATAGCCTGCTACAGGGATACCTTTACTTTTTCTGTTGTGATGTTGCCGTGGGTGATGTGTTATGCTTTAATCTATTCCTGTATTTGCGCCAAAACTGAGCGACTTCAGCGGCAGAGGAATTGAAAGGCAGTGGAAGGAGAAATTCCATTAGATTGCAGTAGCTCAAAAGCTTTGTGTGCCCATAACTTTATGAATTTCATCTGACGGATTTATGGAACCGATCATAAATATTTCCGCTGAATTGCTTGGAAACGCAAAAGGAGATTATAAGAAACGTGTTTAAGAAAAACTTCTCAAAGAGAAGTGTTGTATTTGGTCCCTTCAGTAGCTGAAAGTTCTGATGGTCAGTTGAAGGAATTCATTACGTCTTAAGCGGCACATTTGGAGATCGATTTCGTCAGAAAGCTTTTGTGTCTAAACTTCTTCAAGGCTTTAAAACTACAACACGATTTTGTTATGTATTAAAACGATAAGTCCGGCAACACAAGGACAGGGCAACAAACTGAATGCAAAGTTTTTTGGGAATTGAAAATGGATTTGAAGAAAGCAGTCTTCTGGGATGTGGCACCGTGTAGATGTGGTATTAACCGACATTTCGGAGGAACGTATCGCCTCCATCTTCAGTGTAGAAGGAAAAATAAGAAAAACCGCAAGCGAAGAGACCGTGAGAACCGATACAAGCAGACTGGAGAAGATGGAGGCGATACGTTCCTCCGAAACGTCGGTTAACACCACATCTACATGGTGCCACATCCCAGAAAATCGCTTTCTTCATAGTCACCGCCGTGAAAACCTCAAATCTTACGAAAATGGATTTATTCGTATACTCTCTTGATTATATTTCATTTTTATGTGTCCATGAAAACGTAATTCGTTCAGCCATCGTATTTTGGTTTGTGAAAGATAGCGAAATCCGTGAAGAAGTCCTAAAATTGGCCATTAGAAAAGGAACAACAATAAGTGAGATAGTGAACACGTTTCCAACTCATCAAATATACATTTCCAAAATAGTTCCTTTGACTGCTGGCAGCCCTCCTAGCATGAGTGGCTGACAAGCAGGATTCTTGACGTTAGTCACAAAACATGTCCGTCATTCCTTTGTGCCCTTTTGTTGCATTGTTCATCAAGAGGTTGCGCTGACGTCATACGGAAGATAATGGAAATTGTCACTGAAGTGGGTAACTTCATTGCTCCATGCGTTTTAAATAAAATGAAATTTAAATTGCTTCTGAAAGAATTTGATTAATTCACTGTTTGGTGGTGTGCTCATGTAGTAGTGTACATTGGCTTCGTCGTGGGCGTGAACTTGACAGATTTGTCGAGTGTTTGAATGAAATAAAAAGGTTTTAGGAGGACAGAAATGCAACAGGGTCCGAAGCTGGGGGATGCACAATCGAGACTCGTTCAGGTAAGCGAGTGCCACGTCACACTGCAAGGCACTGGGAAACCAACTGAAGAATAATCTGAGCGAGGTTCGAACCGAGTACCACACGAATACGACTGTACAGCTCTGACGCTACGTCAATAGCTACGTCAGCCTCGTAAGATAAGGCGTCGAGAAACGTTTTTCGCTAAAGCTGGACTCAGGGGTGAGATGAAACAACATAATATAATGTTTGTAATTTATTCTCTTATATTTAGGAGCCGGGATAGCTGAGTCGATATAGCGACTCTCTGCGGGCTGGGCAGCCTAAAGGTCGGGGTTCAAGTCCCTGTAAGGCAACATTTCTCTCTCCTCAACGTCACCCAGACCGCCTCAGGGGTCCACACAGCCTCTTATCCAACTGGTATTTGGGGAGCATTCCCCGGGGGTAAAGCTGCTGGGGCGTGAGGCTGACCACTTACCCCCAAGTAGTGCCGAGGTGAAGAATATGTGGGTCTATACCTCCACTCCCTATGTAGCTTCGCCGGGTATTGCTTAATTATTTAAGCACAGGGCCAATTTTACCTTTTACATTTTATTCTCTTATAAAGTAAAAAGTAAAGTAAAGCTATCCCTGTACCAGTCCGTGAAGGCCCATAGGGTTGTGAGACGTTGAGGCTCCCACATTATCTAGACAATCGGCTCACAGATGGCGGTAAGCTTGTCAGCCTTACGCACCGGCCGCGGTTTACTATCCAGGAAAATTATTTAATTAATTCCTGGTACTCATTTCTGTTAGAGACTGAGTCGACCCCAGGGCCTAGTGCGGCTGGAGGGGTTAGGTCAATTGAAAGAAATCCAATGACCTCATCGGGACTTGAACCCGCGACCTACATACAGTAAGTGTGAAAACAAGGCAAACAGTGAAGATATCTAGTTGAAAACCGCTCTACGCAATCACTTCCTTATGGTTCATAATCCATTTCAAAACCTAGAACTTCACAGAGAACACAAAGAATTAAACCATGTACTGATGTATAAATTCGAGACTTTGTCCACGACTACAGAGGATAAGATTATGTTCGATACATCGAACAGGAGAAATTTGAAGGTCTATGGGCTAGTAGGCGTAGTGGTTATATCTATCCATCACTTTTATTTATTTACTTGTCATAATTGTTTTTTGCTTATGAAGCCATGTTACCTTTACATTAGGCGTCTTACAGGGTGATGAATCACGTCTGAAGACCAGTGTAATGGTAACAAGACATCTTAACAATAAACAATTACAGATCAATAAATAAAAAAGCATGTGTGTTGCGTTACAAGCGACAGACAGATGTATCCCATGCAAAAAGAGAAGGAGCACGGGCCAGCAAGAGAGCAAGGCTTCTGGGCAGGCAGAGCTGACAGCTGGTAGCGGATAAACCGGCGGTTTAGAATTTTCTTAAGCAAGGCAGAAGATATGGAAAAGCAGAAATACAGACTGAAATGCATCGAAGATGTGGAGAATGATTTACGAGAGATGAAACTGAATAAATTGAAGAAAAGGGAAAATAACAGAGATCAATACACATCTGTTTTCGAGGACGCCTTGCGTCTCGGAGAACCGCAGAGCCGAGGCATGCTTTGAGGAATTCTCGAACTAAAACATGTTACAGCCGATGGCCAACAACAGTACCCAAATTCCTTTGAATCTTACCTTGCAGTTACCAGAATATTGTGACATGATACCCGAAAGCCTGAATAGTAATGTCAGATTAGATGTTCATTGCTAGGCAACGACTCGGTAAACATGTTCCTGCAGTAACGAATACGCAAACAACAATCAAGTAACTTCTGCTACTATGTAACGGCGCAGTAAACATATTTTCCCAACGATGGAGTGGCTGTGTTTTCTGCACGGGCCGTGCATAGTGGTTATGAAGAAGAGTTGAATTGAGAAATCGAGTTTCGAGACGCCAGCCTGTCAGGATGAGAGCTTGGGAGCAGAGGAATGGAATTGGCAGCTGCAGAACAGTGGCATGACAGGAATTAGGCTGCGAAAAGATGATTTCATGTGTGATCCGAAGTAACAGAGTGTTATGAATCCGTTGCCAGGATACGACTAGTGGAGACTGAGAACCCTAGTGTGTGTGGCGATGAACTATAAAGTGTGTAGAATAGCGATAGGGCTGTGTTCTGTATAGTTCCGAGTAATCTGTAAGGTGTCAATAAATGCCATCATCAAATTCAGAATCCGTATAAAAGTCACGAACACCCCCCCCCCCATAATACGTTACAATACTGATCTCCCCTTCTACTCCAATTTCCACACGCTCAGTTGTAGAATTCGGGTTTCAGCTTCGTGTTCCCCTCCGCTGAATGCAATGGGTGGCGTATGAGTAGAGTAGTTGGTTGAGGCACTACGCTACAAGCCGGAAGGTCGCGGGTTCGAATCCCGAAAGTCAGTAGGGTTCCTTGGACGGGGATCAGCCCATCGCAAGGCTGTTACCTACACATATGACAGCACGAACATAGAATAAACGTAGACAGACATCCATTCTTCGAGGGTGATTTGAACCAAGGATCCCAGCATTCGAGTGAGCGAAGACAGATCTTGCCTCAAACGGTGCGGCGTCCACCAGGAGGGTAGCCGTCCGTACCCACTCAATTTTGGGCAAGCTGGGCGCCTGAGTCAGTCTCGAAGTCATGAGGTCCTTCGTCTGCCGGAAATGAAAACCCGGTCCTACAACCCGAGCCAGCCAGTATATGACTGAGGTGCCGTAGCTCGAAATATTTATAGACTCGTGCATTAATAACGAATTTTGAAACTAGTTTAGACCCCCAATTTGAAGCAGCAGCCGTGACTGTGAGAGTTCGAAGTATATTTGTAAGCCAATTATTAAAAATTTTCAAACAATAAATTTATTCAAAATTCAGTGGGAACGTGTCTGATATGTACTCCAGTGCAATAGAAACAGACAGAGACATAAGGAGCTGCTTTAAGAAACATCGTGAAATCAAAATGCAGTTTTATTTTGGACAGAGATGCGGATTACAAAGCTCTGCACGTTAATGAGGAGATGTTAAAACGAAAAAATTAGAGCTACATTTACCTCGAGAACTTACCCTTTATTCATTAAAATCTTAAACGGATGGGGGGGGGGGTTGATGGGAATGACGAAGTATAAAGGTTTATTGAGACCAATTTTAAGTCTGTTTATTTATGCGTCAGTTCACACAGCCTCATCTCTTCGACAGAAAACGTCATCAGAACAAGGCACACCAGGCAAGGGCGGTTTGTTTGCATCTCTACGGAGCTGTCAGCGGCAGGAATTACTACAGTGGCACAAATTAATCATGATCATTTAATATAATATAAAGCAATTCTCATTTTACAAGTCTATATTTATTATTTATTCTAATAAAACATTTGATATGTGCATCAGGATTTATCGCTCATATATTCGTGATCCCAGCCTCTTCTTGCTTCTCATGACGATAAACTTTAAAACTGCTTAATAATTTATTTACATATTTATTTTGTTTTAAACTGTAATACAGTAATATTCAATTCCAAAATATTATTCATGCATTTGCAATTGTTACATTTCCTGAACAGCAGTTCAAGAAAATCCTTGTTCTTTATACTACCTGAACGTTAATCTCGTCAACATATAACCCATTACTTGAACCATCTTCTGAAAGAGTCCAACCCAGTCAACATCCTCACAAAACAACTTCCTCTGAAATCCATTTTAGTGTTATACTCCCACGCAAGAACGGCTCGATAAACATGGCGCCGTCTAAGCCTGTAACTGCAGCACACAGAGATTCCTTGACGACCCAGATGTTCGTCATTATGGAACCCAAAGGCTCATTCTAGTCTCTACTGAGGGAGAATTACGTAGGGGTCAAGAAGATTTCATGTGAATGAACGTTCAGCGCCTGCGCACTAGGCAGGCTGCACTTCGATCGCGTTTCTTGCTATATCAGCGCTCCCGCACGACGATTCGTCGGAATGGGGAGGAGTAATCACAGCTGATGAGGACCGCGCAGAAGTCATCGTTACGTCACTTCGTCCGGGCGAAGAAGAAGGGGAAGTAGCGCCGCTGTTTTCTTTGTCCTGTGCTGTGGTAGTTTCCGTCTTATTCACAGGTGTCTCTGCATTCGCTATTCCGGTGCTTGTGCATTTCTTAAAATGAGTCCTCATGTTACTAGACTGACTGAACCGTAGCCCACATTTGCTGCATGAGTATGGTTTGGTTCCAGTGTGGTAGTTCAGGTGCGTTTTGAGGTGATGTTTCTTTGTGAAGGCCTTGGCGCACAGCTGGCAAGAGTATGGCTTGATTCCAGAATGCAGTCGCATGTGGAGCGTCATGTTGCTCCTGTCGGCGAACGCTTTTCCACAAACGCTACACGCGAACGGTTTCTCACCAGTGTGAATCCGCAGATGTTGTTTGAGCAACATTTTGCGTGAGAACGATTTGTTGCAATGCGGACACGAATGTGGGCGTTCACCTGAAACAAGAGAAACAGTGAGATACGAAAAATTGGATGTCCATTATATTAGGTCTCTCAATGAGATCATAGCACTGGCCATGGAACAACTATGGAAAGTTGGACAAATATTATACATCCATTAAGCAACGACAAACATTCTATCACAAACGGAATCCTTGAGGTACCTTGAACGAACGAAACCTAAGGGATCGAAGTTCGGTGATCGCGAGGACCACGCCGTTTGGACCGAACATTTATGAAAGGCATGTTTTGTTAATAAAATAATCACGAACTGATCTCAGTTCAATGCGAGTGTTATAATTGTAACTATGTAGTGAAGCAGTTGAGGACACAATAACTCCTAACATGTCAGTGATCTTAAAAACTGCTCTCACCGCGGATGTGTTCTGATGTACCTTGTAACCGTATATACAAATTTCGGTTAACCCATGGGTCTGCTTAATAATGAGAACATCAAATGGACCCCAGCACTGGAGACTGCGACTAACAATTCAGGTTTATGGCCTATGTGCTATCGGAAATGTTGCACAATAGATTATGCATGTATTGTAATGTACAAGTGTGTCTCTTATCTCAGCACATGAAGACTCATGTAAGGATGTTCACTTCTTACCTATAGGCGCGTCAAGGACACTGTTTCATTATCAAGAGTATATACATTCTGATTGTAGGATTGGAAACGAATATTGAAATGGAATTACTTTGAAGGAAGCGGTCGGCCTAACTGAGGTACTATCCGGGACTTCCACTGGAGGGACTGACTAAAACCATGAAAACCCTCGGTAAGGACAGCCGGTGATTTGAACCGAGGACTTCCCGAATTACCTCTAGGTCAGCTTGATAGGTACAGTTAGTGTGTTGGCTGACCTGTATGGATCCTCACGTGCATGTTGTAGGCCACTCTCTGATTGAAGCTCTTGCCGCAGTATTGACATCCATACTCCTTGCGGTTTCTGTGTATTTTCATGTGAGAACTGAGGTATCCACGATCGTTGAAATATTTGCCGCATTCCGGACACGTCGCTGCGAACTCACGGGTACCCTCGTGAACGGAGCGGTGGTATTTGTAGTTGCGCAGTTGGCTGAACTGTTTGCCACATTCCCCACATTGGAACGGTTTTTCCCCCGTGTGGGTCCGGAGATGAACCTGTAACATTAAGTTGATCCTTTCTACTTATAAGTTTCTAAGATTATGCAGCGCAGAAGGGGTGACATGATAACGTTAATTTAAAAAATAACCTACTGTACTCAATCACTCAATACTTTCTGATTTTCAATCTATTTTCCTTATATTATGATGAATGTAAGCGTGCATGTCAGCTCTTGATCACTTTTAAATAAATTAACGAATTTTTATAAACATTGGTCTGAACATGGTAACTTCACACCTTTGTATGTTTATACAACGTGATTCTGAATTACTGTTGGGGTTTCCGTGTCCTATAATTTTAAAATCGGAAGAAACAAAGTAAAACTGCTTACAGGATATGAAAGTGTAACTCAAAACGTTTTATTACATATAGAATCAATACTGCAGGATGCTAAACAATTTCAACATGCGAGCCTTTCGTCGGACGAAAGCGGTATCCAGTCTCTCTCCGGCATGGGCGGTGTAACTGTTTCGATTGCAGCAACAATTCTGAGCTTCAGTTCATCGAGAGAGGTTACAGGGGTCTAGTAAACAATTTCCTTAACGTGTTCCTACAGGAAGAAATGAAGCGGCATAATATCGGTGAACGCGGAGACCACGGAATTTGTCCATCAAGGCCAGTCCATCCATCTAAGAAAATTCATGTCAAGAAATTCTCGGAAAGTCTATAAATGAGAAGAATATAGCATGCCACATTAAACTTTTTACATTATATTTTCAGATTCCGTAAGCAGTTTTATTCCATTTCTTCCGGTTTCAAAATTACAGACCATGGAAACCCCGACAATAATTTAGATTCATATTATTCCTGCTNGTCATTCACCGTCATATTACGGCCGCTTGATTACGGTACCGCTACCCGAGGAAACCCAAGCTTAAGAAATTCTGATATGGAGACCGCAAGCGTATTAGCGTTTGGTAATAGAGCTTCGCGTAATATACACATTTTATAAAGGGATGTTTTGTAACAGAATATCATTTACTTTCAATTTAAAGGCAACAAGTAATGCAACATGTGAAATTCAGTACACATATCTATGTACAGTTCGGTAAATAGCTTAAATACAAACATGGCAGCAGTAAAAGCTTCTGTTTCTATCACTTAGCCTCTGTCACATAACTGAATTGTAACATTATGAATCCGTCTCCTAGACATTCCAGGCAGAGAGACATCGGTATCCAAATGATAGGCCCGTTACACTAGAAACGTGAGTAGCACACAAATTCGCAACGTCTAATTACGTCAGTGCCATGACTGTACAGCAAGCACCGGCAACTGCTTCCATGATACGTAGCATTTTTGTCACGTTTATATTTACTGAAGTGGCGGACGGTTTATGTGCTTTTGAAAATGCATACGTCCAATGCTGTATTCACAATATCGCAACATTCGATCCTCAGCGGAACTCTGTCTACAACCTCACTTCCGGCGTCTTCAAGATCTGTTTTAATATTGTCCTTACTTTTTGCTTATATCTGCCCCTGCTCGCAACCCGTTATACTTCCCGGCAAAGCTCTGTATGCCTGACCACAAATGTGCTAATTGCCTGTTACGCATCAATTCAACATTTTAGCCCTAAACATATACAGGCCTTGTGGACCTTGGCCGCTTTTTCAATTTCTTAATCTATACACAGCCGGTAGGGCTCCTTGGATGGGGGATCAGCCCATCGCAAGGCCGCTACCTACACACAAAACAACATAAACACAGAATAAAGGCACATAGACATGCCTCGAATGGGATTCGAATCCACGATCTCACTGTTCGAACGGGCGACGACAGTTCATGCCTTAGACGGCGCGGCCACTGTATATATTTGTATTTGCAAGTTGTCCCTGTTATGCACTACACCATGAAGACGTATGGGGGAGTGGATGTATAGATCCACATTTTCTTGACCTCGCCACTAGTTGGAGGTGAGTGGTCAGCTTCACGTCCCTGCCGCTTTACCCCCGGGGAAAGAGCCCCCGGTACCTTTGGTTAAGAGGCTGGGTGGGCCCCAGAGCCAGTCTGGTCTACGCGGAGAAGAGAAAATTCTTGACCCTACCGGGATTCGAACTCTGACCCCTCGGTCGTCCAGCCCGCAGCCAGACGCTATACCGACTAAGCTATCCCGGCTCGTTATGTACACGTATATAATTAATTTTACCTTCAATACTCCATTAGTTACTTATGGAGCTGAGCCCTTCTTGAGAAGCCAAAACTGCAGATACTCAAGAATTTCTCGGCATTTTATGGAACCCGAAGGTTCATTACCGTGTTCACGAGAGACCACCATTGTTCCCTATCCTGAGCCAGATCAATCCAATTCATACCATCAAATCCTATCACTCTAAGATACGTTTTAATCAATACTCGATTATGATGCAAAAAAACAAATATCTTCTTACACTTGATTTCCGCTTCTTAAGAACTTTATAACAGAGAAGACAGTGCAGGAACAGTGCGCGCCTTGAGAGACACTCCTACCCTTGAAGACGTTACCTTGAGGGAGGCGCGTGTGACGAAAGCCTTCCCACAGCTGGGGCAGGCGTGCTCGGGTCTGCGGGCCGGCTCGTGCAACTTCTGGTGCGTGCTCCAATGGCCGCGCTGCGTGAATTGCCGCCCGCAGTCTGCACACGAATAGGGACGCTCACCCGTGTGGATGCGCCGATGCTGCAGCAACAGCTGACGCCGGGAAAAGAACTTCCCGCAGTCTTCACAGCCATGGCTCTTCGCGATTGGAGCGGTTTGCGCACACTCGCGCGTCAGATCTGCAGCAGTTCAGCGCAACACAGTCACCATCGAGCTACCGGATATGGCTCAGTAGTCAGGCCTCTTGCGGAAGTGAAGGTTTCGTCTACTGAACGAACCAAGGTAGGAAGCCTTACGGGAGAAAAAGCCCTGTGCAGGTAATGTGAATTCCCCACCGGTTTCTGAATACTGGATGTATGTGACTTAAACGTTTTGCGTCGCTGATGACGCCCCACCCTCGTTCCAGTGACAGTTTTAGTATACCACAAAATCGCCATGTTGGGGGTATGTAGTCAGTTCAGAAGAGTTCTGTTTCTCAGAATCTCTGTCCTGGAAATTAAACCTTGTATGAACGGACCTTCTGTTTGCCTCGCTCAATGACACCTCCCTAGAAACTTGTACAGTTTTCATTTCACAGGTTCGTTCTGCGTCCCAAAGGTATTCTAGCCCAATTAAGTTATCAGTACATAATCAATTAAACTAATTTTCTTATTTCCTTCCGTTCCGTTCTTCCCAAAGGCCAATTATGAAGCAAGCACAAGTAAAAGAAAGAAAAAAACAATCACATACACACAAAGAAAGAGACAAAACAAGGAAAGATTATATCATTCAGGTAATAACAATTCCATGAGAACACTTGTGCTAATGTTTTGAAGTGAAAAATTATGCATATATTTAATATAATTAATGGGAGAAACAGCGAAACAGCTGTTGGTTCGGATGCATCAACGTTCCAAGATTCAACATTAGCATAATAATAATAATAATAATAATAATAATAATAATAATAATTTGTATTTACGTGCTTACTAAACAGCCCAAAAGCCAATACTAATAAAAAAGAAGTTTATATAATCTCCCGATCTATTTTGACATGCCTTCTCTGTATATTCATGATAAGTCTGTTTCTTTACCTGTGTAAATGACTCCGTGACAGAACAATTTTCATTATTTTAATCCCTGACATTGCAGCAGATACACTGATATTTCAGTATCTACTTTTTTTATTGCTAGTGGGGTGGGACTAAGTCCCTTGTACTGCGGCCACTTCTGGCCTATTGTACCAGCCCCAGATGATAGGTGAGGTGATTGTGGAGCAATTGGTGGAATAAAGATTGGCAGGGGAAACGGAAGTACTCGGAGAAAACCTGCCCCAGCGCCACTTTGTCCACCACAAATCCCACTTGACCAGACCCGGGATCGAACCCGGGCCGCCGCGGTGGAAAGCCAGCGACTAACCGCTAACTCTCTATGTACTCCTGTTGCTCCCACTTGGAGTACAGGCTTCCCTGAAACGCTTGTTTCACTTCAGTTTCTTAACGTTAGTCAGTCGGCAGAACTCCTTGGAAGGGGCATTAGTCAGTCTCAAGGCTGCTACCTATTACAAACACAGAATAGACACGGATATCCATGCTTTAAGCGGGCTTTGAACCCACGATTTCAGTGTTCGAGTGGACGAAGACTTTTGATGCCTTAGACCTCGCGGCCTTCTTTCATTTTGGCGCACAAGTGTTATGGTGCTCCTTTGTTTCCGTTGGTTATTCAACCGCGCTTTCTGCATCGCAGGTTTACAGCGCCAGTATTAGTCCTGTCATCATCAGCACCATCATCGTGATCATTACTAAGATATGTCTTATTTATCAGATTCAGTCAGATTATCTTGCAGGGAGTCGAGAATTATTCATAGCTTGGGCCATATCCCCGTTCCCTGAAGGAGAAGTAGACACGACTCATGGCTGTGTCCCTGAAATCACGCTGTCAACAAAAACACGTGCTCCACCACGCTTCGTCTCAAGGGAACACGGGTTCGTTAACCGATATGACTGGAGAACTGGACCCACGCCCAACACACGACAATTGCATGTGAAGTTGCAGTGAGAGACCTGATCGTTTGACAGGTTTCACATTTTAAAAATTGTAGCAGTTAGTCTACTTTCTATGTCGAAGGCAGTGACTGTGTGCGGTATGTGACACAGAGATATTGTAACTAATATGTTAACCCTGCCAGTGACATTGGTACGTAACCTTGGGTCGGCCACAGTTCTACAGAATCAGGCAAGTCACGTGACTACTCGTATGAGGAGTTCAGTGAGCGAGTTCGTTTCAGGAGTGACAGGAGTGACGGTAAATGTGCGTACCGAACAACAGAAAAACGAAAATGAGAGATCTGATGCCTTCATCAGGAGATGTGTGCCTAGTCGGCAAAATACAGGCTACAGGGATCAAGATTGCGTTCATATTAAACTTGGAGAACCCTTGTTACTATGTAAGATTTGAGGCTTTCACGGCGGTGACTATGAAGAAAGCAGTCTTCTGGGATTTTGCACCGTGTATATGTGGTGTTAACCGACGTTTCGGAGGAACGTATCGCCTCCATCTTCAGGGTAGAAGAAAAAATATATAAGAAATCTAGCTTCTACCGGTTCTCACGGTCTCTTTGCTTGCAGATTTCTTATATATTTTTTCTTCTACCCTGAAGATGGAGGCGATACGTTCCTCCGAAACGTCGGTTAACACCATAATATACACGGTGCAAAATCCCAGAAGACTGCTTTCTTCAACCCTTGTTACTGTTCGGTATGAAAGCATCCGCTTTCTCTGTCCCCTCCCTAAAAATATAAAGAGGTAAAGCCACCCCGTGAATGCCCATAGGGTTGTGAGATGTTGAGGTTCCCACATTTTCTAGACAACCGGCTTACAGATGACGGCGAATTTTTTTGCCTTACGCGCCGGCCGCCCTTTACCCCCAGGGAGATTCCTAGTACTCATTTCTTTTAGAGGCTGTATGGAACTTAGGGCCATAGTGCGGCTGGAAGGATTACATAAATTGAAAATCTTCACCTCATCGGGACTTGAACCCGCGACCTTCCGACTTATAGTATAGTGCCTCAAGCAACTATGCTACCGCGTGCTCCCTCCAGAAATATAAAGAAGAAACTATACAAACTGCAAGTTCCTTCCTGTTTTCTACATATGCGAAATCTGGCCACGCACGTTAACAAGAGAGCGTTGGTTGGGAATGTTGGAGAACAGGAACTATATATATGGCTCTACTGTCCTTTTGTTGGAACTCGGCCGCCTTCTTCAGTTCTTTATCCTGTACACAAACGGTAGGACTCCTCGGACCGGGGATCAGCCCGTCGCAAGGCCACTACCTACACGCAGAACAACACAAACACAGAATAAAACCACGCGGACATCCATAGTTTGAGTGGGATTCGAACCCACGATCCCAGCGTTCCTGCGAGCGAAGACAGTTCATACCTTAGACCGCAAGGCAGGCCCCTGTGATCCTCTGGAGAACAGACTACCGAGGAGAATATTTGGACATGAGCCTGGAGCAAAACTGCATAATGAGGACCTTCATAATTTGTAGGCACTACACGCGGTAGCTTAGCTAGTTGAGGTACAATGCTACAAGCCAGAAGATCGTGGGTTCGATTCCCGATGAGGTCATTGGATTTTTCAATTGCCCTAATCCTTCGAGCCGCACTATGGCCCTGGGGTCGTCTCAGCCTCTAACAGAAATGAGTACCAGGCATCTTCCTGGAAGTAAAGGGCGGCCGGCGCATAAGGCTCACAACCTTACCGCCATCTTTGAGCCGATTTTCTAGAAAATGTGGGAGCCTCGACGTCTGACAAGCGTACCAGTTTTCATAAAATCGGTTCAGATTTTCGCAAGTTGTTAAGGGGCCGAATTCACATGCAGACACGCAGGGAAAGAGAAAAACAAAGAAGTTATGCCTAGTCTGGCAGCGGAGTTCGGTACAGACCGCTCTATGAAGCACAGGCTTGCCAGAAGCTTAGTCTCCAGTTATTAGATTGGTGTATAAACACTGATATCATTGTTGCGCTAAAATTGTGACGGAGTGTAACTCACCGTTGTTGTTGTTGTTATTGTTGTCGTTCTTCGTGAAGACGGTCCGCGCGGTGTCGCGAGGAACCGGGACATCGCAATCTCCTTGAACTTGACCCTGGCCCTCCTCTTTACGTTCGTGTTCCGCCACTTCATCAATTGAAACCGAGTTATTTTGCTCCGAATTAATTTCTTCAGTATCACAGTTTTCTGTTAAGTTTTTGTTATCGTCTTCCTTTACATTTTCCTCATATGACAGCCTTTCATCACAGTTAGATAATTTCGGTTCTGGTAACGGTTTGAGTTTTTCTTGCAGTGACATTGTCATTTTCTGGTACCCTGAAGGACTGCTTCTGTTGGGAAGTGAGGACTTAGTTGTCAAGTCACTGGCAACTTCGTCTTCTTTACTCTGAGTTACGTTTCCTCCACTTCTGAGATCTATCGTCCTCTGTTCTCTATAAAAATCCTGAAGACGTCTTTCCTTCAGTTTGCAGAACACGTCAAGGCTTTCTGAAGCTCTCTTCCCAAGAGAAGGTACTTGATCATATCCGGTGTTGTCGTCGCTATTTGCAGGTCTCTGCAGATGCTCTGTATGAGAAGGGGAAGAACCCGTGTCTGTGTTTCCATTTGGATTCTGAAAAGGAGAGAGTAAATTTAGTGCCCAGAAACATAGAAGCACGCCAACATTTCTCATAAAGTTAATGTTGAATTCCAAAGATCATATAAACCGCGGCCACAAAATGTTCTTCATTGCAAGTATTTGTACGGATACGTTCCGTTCATAGCAAAACGCAGGCCTCTTGTTCTGACTGAAAGAAATTCCATCATTGTACGGTTATCGGATAAAGATCTGGACAATGAGGAATAAAAAATTCAATTATAATCTTGAAAAGAGAAATTACAGCGCCATAAATATAAATAAATGCTCTTATCTGAAGGGTCAAATCATAGCGTTCATGAAAACAAAAATTAAGTTAAAGTAAACACTACTGATACTGCTCCTAACAATAATACTCACATGTCAGGGGTTGGCGTGACTAATACTAATGGGTTCTGGATTTCATGTCTGGGTTTAATGGCACTTCTTTACAATTACAGTCTGTTACAACAGCTCACACATTGAACTCCTTCCGAACGGCGTCTGTCTGAGGAATTTGTATGAAGAACCTCTGACTGCACTGAATTCACAATGAGCTCCCTTTTATAACTTCCACGCGGCCCGAATATTAGTCACCGAGTCGAACAGTTAATTGTCCTCTGTTATTCTGTCTGTTGTCACGAGAAGCTTGTGTTTAGCAGCTTGCTACTTGGCAACGGCTCCTTTCTTGTTATTCGTTGTAACGGAAACGTGATTTCCGAGCCGTTCCTCAGCAAAGGACATCTGATTCGGTTCCACCATTCCGGCTTTCAGCAGTCATGTCACAATATAATGAAAACAGCAGTTACGGGAAAAACGACAAAGTTGATAATTTCCCGGAGTTCAATTATTGTTAGGCTACTCAAGAATCTCCCGACATTTTATTGAAACCGAAGTTTCATTCGTGTCCACAAGAGCCCTCCACTGGTCCTTATCATGAACCAGATTAATCTAGTCCATTCACCCCATCCTTTGTCTCTAAGATGCTTTTTAATATTATCATCCCACCCACTACCACGTCTTCCCTTCTAGCTTTCCCACCAAAATCCTATATGCATTCATCTTTTGTTTATGCGTTCTAAATGCCCTGCCCATCTCATCCATAAAATTATATAAAAGAAAGAATTTGGTACCGTGCACAACATTTGGGGCACGGGTTCCAGTTTGCAGTGAGTAGTGATGGAGATATTTAGTGTTTCATTACAATTATATGTAGATGGCGGTGAGGTTGTAAGCCCTACGCTCCGGCCGCCCTTTACGCCCCAAGAAGATCCCTGGAGCTCATTTCTCTTAGAGGCTGAGCCGATCCCAGGACCATAGTGCGGCTGGAAAGATTAGGTTTATTGGAATAGATCCAGTGACTTCATCGAGACTTGAACCCGCGACCTTCCGGCTTGTAGCAAAGTGGCCTCACAACCAAAGAGACATCATCTCAAAGAAATCAACACACACACACCAACATCAACAAACTGCATGAATCACACCCACACCGCCGAAAATCACGTTAATAGTTTCCACATGGGGATCGAAACCGTTTGCACTCAATTTAATATGGCGACCTGTTTAAATTTGAATTTTAATCGCAATGTTAATTTTAATTTTAAATTGAGTCAAGCCGTGCAGTAGAGAGGTTACAGTGACGAGGACACCTGATGGTGGCCTGCCGTCAATAAATATTAGTGATTGATACAATCTCGTGTTGCTTTCTGGCGGAAATGCGTCACTGTTGCACACAAACATACGGACAAATTGCGAAGCGGGAGGCCACATGCGCCCCCTTCAGCATTATTACGAATGCGAGACAAGTTATCACAGTGCTAATAGAACTGATTTGTATTCAGGAGGAACCGGTCAGAACCCCAGTCGAAGCACCGATTATCATAACACGTTTTCTTCCTCAATCCTATTGGGCTAATCCCGAAATATATCGAAGCTTCTTTCTATCTGGTCCTATGCAAACCACGCCTCATCTCAACTGATGCTACAGACTGTAATGCGAATAGACATACATCACTTGATACAACTTCGTTAAATACTAAAGAAAAAAGTAAAGCTGCCCCTGTAACAGGTCGTGAAGGCCCATAGGGTTGTGAGACGTTGAGGTTCCCACATTATCTAGACAATCGGCTCAAAGATGGCGGTAAGGCCGCGCTTTACTCCCCAGGAAAATTATTTAATTAATTCCCGGTACTCATTTCTGTTAGAGGCTGAGTCAACCCCAGGGCCACAGTGCGGCTAGAAGGGTTAGGTCAATTTAAAAAATCCAGTGACCTCATCGGGACTTGAACCCACGACCTTCCGGCTTGTATCATAGCCCCTCAACCAACTACGCTACCGCGTTCCCCTTCGTTAAATACTTACATAAGAAAAATAAAGAGATGCAAAGCTACGTTACGAACGACAGTCAACAAGTACATGTTGCTGCCGAGCCCCCATCTGGGGCCCGAGACCGGATTTCTGTTGCTGTCAGTCTGTTGCAGCTTTGTTGACGTGGGGACGGGTCTGTCGTCTACAATTGCTTTTGTTCCTCGCCAGCGCAGTCATTCTCGGGTCCGAGTCCACAACCATATTTTACTGTCTGAGATTTTAGACTCCCCAACCTGGAGGGTCAGGTCCCCGTATTTATATCCCCCAAGAACAGGGTGGTCCAGTTATACTCCCTGCACTCACTTCCCTTTTCGCCGCCTCCTGCGACTCGCACGGCTACTCCCGCCTCCACACGGGCGGGGTGCAAAGATGTTGCATGCACTAAACAGATTCACGCTCACTAGACCATTGTTGGGTGCCGTTCTCGAGAAAACTAACACACGCCCTTCAGATCTGAATGTTTTCCTGAATATGCCACCTGTGACGTTTTATTTAGGAGATGGTCTCCGAAAATTAATTAATCAAAACCATTAAAGACATTTTCGACAAAATCTACGTTTTAAATGTTGGTGCCCATTTGAAAGGCCCTGTTCACCGGGTACCACTCTAGGGGTGGACAGACGCTTAAGTGACGAATTTGAACAAATATCGAAGTGATTAGGGGTAAGCGAGGCGCACATTTATACATACACACGGACAGCACACCAGAAAACGTTTCGTAGTAAGCGGGCTAAAAACGTGTTAACTTTGTCGAAATCTCAAGATGGGTATTAATGATCGCAGCGATATCTCGCACTAAACTTATCGCATTATGTCCTCTGGCCTCATTCCCTCAGAATTCAGCTGTAACTCTGGGTCTTACACACAGTTCAGTTACTCATTCTAAGATTATTGGTGGAGGCCAAGTTCGATCCTGAGACTCTCTGCATTAATTTAGTGTTCAGAGGATTCCGTGTTCGATGATAATGGTTGATATTTTTAAAATAGCAATAACATAAACTGTCATTATGACAACGAATTGCATGAAGGGGAACCCGAGGTCTATACGCGACGTCAAGTGAGCCGAGCAGAAGACCTCGGATACTGGACAATGCTCAAGACAACATCAACAGATGAGTGACTCATTGTCTCGATATTTTCAAGCAGCGGCTTTCAAGAATCCGCATTTCAAATTTAGACCACGTTTTGTGGCCAACGAAGTAAAATTTATACATTTTTTGCGTGTAAAATAACCTGTGAAGATGATCATTATTGGATTAAGGTAAAGTCGTCTTGTGCTTAACTAATTAATCACAACGCCATGAAGTCGTATGGGGGAGTGGATGTATAGATCCACATTTTCTTCACCTCAGCACTAGTTCGAGTTGAGTGGTAAGCTTCACCCCCTGGCCGCTTTATCACCTGGGAAATAGCCCCGGTACCCACTGGATATGTGGCTAGGTAGGCTCCAGAGCCTGTCTGAACAATGTGGAGAAAAGGACATTCTTGACCCTGCCGGGACCCGAACTCCGTCCCTTCTATCGTCCAGCCCGTAGTCAGTCGCTATACGGGCTACGCTATCCCGGCTCTCTGTTGTTACAGTTTATAATTTAAAATAAAGCGCGAGGAAAATGTGATTAACTTAATTTACAGTGGCTTATTAAAGAGAACACACACATTGCATATCCTTCCACAGCCAATCGAAGGAAACAGTCATCTGATAATTCACTGTGAAGTAATGCAGGTGAAGCCCTGAAGTCGTGGAGCACACGGCCACGGCACCCGCGTCAAAATGGTCAGGCCATTTACAGAAGAAATTTTGTCTCGAAGCTGGAAGACAGTTTTCAACGGAAATCTTGTATGTGTGTCATGAAATGGCTGGCGACTGCATGAGAAATTGCAGATGGCGGCAAGCAGCCATTTTGGTGACACTTGAGAATGGCTGCCCTGGAGAATCATTGGAGCGTCTTATTGCAACAGGTCCACTCTATGTAGTTTTGGGACGATGATGTCATTTGTCTGAAAAGTTGATTAGTGTACCAATGCATTGGTTATGTAGAGTTATAAAGAATTCCAATTCTGAATTTGCGAGGGAATTAGTCAATAAATGTTTCAAGGCACTACTAGGACATTCGATTTCGGAACGTGAAGGAAACTGATTCCTGTTACTCCCACTTTAGAGCATAGCGCATCCATGAACGCTTCGTTTCACTTCAGTTTCTTAATTTTAGACAGTCGGTAGGTCTCCTTGGACGGGGGATCGGCCCATCGCAAAACCGCTACCTACTCATAAACACATATTATACATATAGACAATCATCCGTGCCTTGAGCGGGATTCGATTAAATGGAAGCCGATATAGGGCACTCTGTATAGCGACTGGCTACGGGCTGGACGGCAGAGGGGTCAGAGTTCGAGTCCGGGTAGTGTCAAGAACTTTCTCTTTTCCATGTCGTCCGGACCGGCTCTTGGACCCATCCGGGCTCCTATCCAATGTGTGCCGGGGGTAAAGCGGCAGGGGAGTGAAGCTGACCACTCACTTCCAACAGTGCACAGGTCAAGAAAACTTGAATCTATACATCCACTCGTTCCTACGTCTTCATGGCGAAGTACTTAATTAGCTAAGCGCAGGGACAATTTTACCTTTTACA